GAGGGAGAACAGAAAGAAAGTAGGGGGTTGGATGATGTCAGTAGTCTGGTCTGGACTGTATTCAGTCAAGTGTGTAAGAGTGCTGAGGTGTCAGTACAGTCAAGTGTGTGTGTGTGTGTGTGTGTGTGCTGAGTTTCCTGCTACATTGACATTTCCTCCTCTACCTCAGAGCTGCTCCTGTCCCCATTCCCACAGCCACGTCACAACAACGTCTCAGCAACGTTTCATCTTGTGTTGCCCTTCAACAGCCAGGGTAGTTCCAAGGCACACCACAAATCACAAGGCAAGGCAGGAGGGAAGGGAGGGGGGTTTAAAATGCAAGCTACATCCACATACACTCTCGGAAGGAGCGAATGGCGTGCGCGGGGCAGAGCAGGTGGAAGCCATGCAGAGGTGGAGGATAATGATGAATGGAGGAAGGGAGGGTGGAAATTGGGTGAAGAGGAGGAGAACGTGGTGAAGGAGGTGGCGGATCAACTGAGTGACAAAGTGACACAGCGGAATGACAACTCCTCCTGTTAGCCATGAATGAGGAGCAGGGGGGGACAGACTGACACGACTCTCCACTTCTGTAAACCGCGAGCACTGTGCAAGCGCACAGCGGTCCTACGTGTGGATCCCTTTTTACTCCGGCATTGGTAAGTAAGTCACAACCGCCCCGATGCCCACATGCATACACATGAAAAGAAACCGTTTAAGGTAATTTTCATTTAGACAAAGCTTTGTTAGAGTGCAAACGGCCTGAGGAGGGTATGAGTAAAACTAGGGCTCTGCCATGCAATAAACAGTACTTCTGTTTGTGTGCCAGCGTGCATAAAAATTCCAGGGATAAGTGGTGGTGTGTAAAACAGGGTTGTGAAGAGGTCTCCTATGACTTGTCAGTGCTCTTTTCCTGAACTCTTACATCCCACTCACTCAGCATCCTTCTCTGGTGATATTAGTGCTTTATTTTAAAGCAGGTATTTAAACCAGAACAGAAACAATAGCTTTTACAGGCAAGGCAACTGCTAGTGAAGACTCAGGATTGTTCAGAATTTTTGGATTTATGGTGATAATAAAATGACCAAAATTCAATATCAACATCAAAACGATACGATCACTAAATGCACTTCTCGTGTGGATTTTTGTGTCATTAAAAACTGCTAATAAACCACAAAGAGAAATCAAACTTGTGGTGTTTAAAGGACTTAAAATCATGTCTTTTTGTCATTGTGTATTTTTGTTAAAGACTGCCAAACTTTATCATTATTTTTTCTGCAAAACAAATCTACCCACTGGTATTAATAAAGTAACCGTGACCTTGACCTCATGCTTCTGACTATGGTAACAGGATTTTCTACAAAAGCATTTTCAGTGCATCAGTTAAATTCCCTGCCATACAAAATATGCCTCAATAAAATATAATGTATCACGTTAAAATAAGTAAACCACACAAAGATGTGAACATTCAATGACAGCTTCTAGCGCTCCGTGTCATGGACACATTGCAGTCAGCCTAGTTATGACACTAGGAGTAAAGACACAAGAAATACAAGCAGGGCGCTCCTGCTTTGCACAGGCTTTTTTTGGGTCAGGAGTTCAGTGCTTTCTAGGGCTCTGACAGCTACGGCTAATCAGAACCCAGACCCATGTGGTCATCATCTATAACTCAGTGGGCCCACAATATGACAGTAACCCCACCAGAACTAATGACGCCTGCACCCACAGTACGGTGAATCGCTTTAAATAAAAATGTCAACCAAATGGCACAGGTTACAAGGGAATATGTAGACAGCAGAACAAGTGTAATAACTCAAGGGGGAAGGATGAACACATAAGAAGACAGCTTAGACTTTATTCCATAAGCTCTGTCTGCAACATGTCTTCTTCACAGACTTAAAGCCTACTTGTATTAAAAAAGGAAACCTGAGACCTCAATTTGCATCATTACCCTTTTAGTTCAAAGCATTCACTTTTGGGCAGTATTATGTTTTAGTATTTTCTTCCATTTTACTATTGCACTTACACTTATGTTACATTTGCATGACTCCGGCACAATAAATAAAATGGTTTCATGTTACTCGTTCAACACAACATAAATCATTCTTAAGTGCTCCGCCTCTCCTTAAGTTTGGCAAAATGAGTTGCATAATAAAACCAAATAAGTTGTGGCAACAAATGAATTTTTAATTTTAGTCCCTGGATGAAAGCGATCAGAAACCCTTAGCTAAGCTGAACATCCTCTCTGGTGCTCTTGCTTTTCTTTCCACTGTGTGCACTTTCACCAGCTGCTGCAGAGGATTAAGCTGGAGACGCTGCTGTTAAAATCCCTGCCTATATTTGAAAGTAGCAAATCAGCCCCATTCTTTTTGTCATTCCCATTTGAAATCCAACAGGAGCCAGCCCCTCTTGTTAAGTTTACAGAGAGCTGACAGAATTACTCTTGTAACAGTGATTCTTGTCAAGAGAGAAAGTGGTAGCCTATTGCCGTCTACGCTTGTGCTCTGCTTTTTTTCTTCCTCCTTTTTTTTTCTCCTGCTTTTCCTCCACTACCCATTTCTCCATCTCTGCCTCCACTTCACCAGCTGTCTCCTGCATAGATTCTCCCCTAAATCCATTTTCCCTGTCATTTGTCCAACTGTGAGTGTATTTCTACCCTCCCTCTTCTGTGCTTCACTTTTAACATATGCCTGAGGAAAGAATTAATACTGTGGATACATTATCTCTTCATGTATTTTATTTTCTCTGTCCAGTCTTTCAAAGCACACTGGCTCTCCCGTTTTATACTCCCCAAGTTGCACTAAACATTCCTGTTCACACACGAGAGTGAGAGCTAGCTCTCGGTGTCCACTTTGTAACAAGAACACAGGAAATGCATTATCACCTATGGCTCTGTGGAGCTCCACCAGATGCAACGTGCCAACAATCTCTGTGCAGACTTCGGGCCAGATGCTGCCACACATTCCCATCACATCAAAGGGAATTGCTCTAAAAATTTAAATGCAAATTCTCTCTAAATTCTACTCATCCAATTATTTTTAACGCATCATTCCAGTGCCACTCTCAAAGTATGTGCTAATAAATTTTTTGGTGGATGATCATTCCAAGCGTTATTCCACCCTTCTGGAGACAACGCTTTAAAGATTCAAAAGAGAGACGCACAGGAGTCACTCAAGCTCCCGCTACAGACTCAAACACTTCTTAACAAAGCACCAGTGGAATTTATCTAAGTGGGTGAGAAGAGGACATCTTATAAACACATGCTGTTGGATGAGCAAGCAAAACGCTGCAATATGCATGCTGTGTGGATAACTGGGGGTGAAAAAAAAATAGAAATATCACACACGCACACTGATGAGCCAACACACACACACACACACAGACACACACCAATACTGTAAAAGCCAAAAAAACAGCATGCTTCTTGAGAAGTCATGTCCCACACGACTGTAAGCTCCAAGTGACCGCAAGTAATGAGAGAGATGGAGTGGAAGTAACATTTATTGCAGCCTCCCAAAAATATGCATGGTCACATTCACATACAAGCTCACACTCGCACACCATCATGATCATCAGTGGTCTGATGTTGGACTGGGCTGCACCTTGGGCATAGCTTAGTAGTCTTCTCTGTCAGCATGTTAAGTTATTGAACAGAGCTGTCTGCGTATGTGCACAAGTGTGTGTGTGTGTGTGTGTGTGTATGTGTGCTAATGAGGGGTGGGAAGGGGGCCAGTTGCAGGCTGTGGGGAGACTTGGCTCCATCAGACCTGTTCTCTGGCTGTTCTCGCATGGCCGGAGACATGCACAGACAGATGCAGGCAGGCAGACACACACACCCTAACCGAGTGGAGGAAAATAGCCAAGCCCCTTGCCCTTGAACTGTCTTCTTAGATGATTCTGAAAATGGGAGAGAATAGACCGAATTGAGAGGAAATCTCTTTTTCGCTGAACTGAAGAGCCCCTCAGACCATGTGGGGGATTCGATCAGGGGCATTTAACTTTTTTTGAAGGTTAAGCTAAGCCACCCCTGTAAGGAATGATGAGCGAAAAGACAGAAGATGGAAGGAATCTGGGTTAGCCACACAAGAACCCCCCTCAGAGGAGCCCAGAATGGAGGGATGGATGGAGGGATGGAGACTACTAAGCTGTGATTAAGGAAGAGCTACTGGTATTTAAGATTTAGGCTTAGAGAGAGAAAGAGAGATCGAATGGGCATGGGAGGAGGAGAGAGAGAATGCTGGTGGCAGGAGTCTCTTCTCTGTGCAGGGAGATCAACGGCAGACTTACGAAGGCTAAAAGACAACCTGAGAGAGATAAGGAGGATGAGGAGAGAGCATATGCTAACTGAGAGGATCCGAAATAAAATGAAAAGAGCAAACTGCAGCAAACGAGATGGCAGGGGAGAGAGACATCGAAAGAAAGAGGAGAGGAGAGGAGAGGAAGAGAGGAGGGCACGATACGTTTGTGTGCGACTGAGCAGCAGAATCAAAGATGGGTGGAGGAGAGGCAAGGAGAAGAGAGGACATCTATCCCTCTCTCTCTCTGCCTCCATGTGCACAGGCCAAGACTGAGGGCAGTAGACACATGTAAGCAGACAGACGCACACTAGTGTGTGTGTGTGTGTGTGTGTGTGTGTGTGTCATGCAGCTATGGGGTAAAAGCGAGTGGGAGGCCTGCTATGTAGCAGGTGCTGGCCATTTCACGCCTGTCGGCCCCCTTTAGCCTTGTTTGTCTACACACATTCACATTAGTCTCTACGGGTCTGAATCACACCCTCAAATGGAGTCATTCCACTTCTTTCTTACACTCTGTTTCGACTATCATCCACTCTTTCATTTAATCTCAATAATACTGACTGACTTTGTTTCTGAGCACTTCTCTCCATCTCTCTGCTTTCTACAAACCTCCTTCACTCTGACACTTGCTGGTTGCCTCAGTCACCTCTTAACTGCTGGCAAATTTAGCTCACATCTTATCCTCCTCCTCCTCTTCTTCCTCCTCCTCTGCCAATGAGTAAGAGAGGAGTAGGCTCAAGAGAGGAGGTGGTCGGCCGCAAGAGAACAAGATGTGATGGGGGAGTGAGATGACAGGACGAGGAAACTGTGGGAAGTTCTACACGGCAAGCGACCAGGCAGACCAAAAAGAAAATAAAAGGGGTCAGAGGAAGAGAAAAAGGAGAAAGTGGAATGAAGAATGGGGGAGGAGTGGAAATATAGGATAAAAGACAGAGCAGGAGAGGAACGGATGGTGAAATGAGAAGAGAAGCAGCCAGGAGCTGAAGCAGCAAAGGGTGACTGATCCGCTCTGAGAGGTTTGGAGACAGACAGAAACGTACACTATGCTGAGAGATAGTGGAGGCCAAAAGCGGTGGAGATAGGATGCAGTGGCACAAGATTCCCATGAGAGTTTTAAATGCTGTCAGCATCGTTCTCCCCCTCCATCCCTCATGCTGTAACTCTCTCCCTCTCTGACTATGAGCATTGTGTGCTGGCACTGATTTGTCCGGATGCACGTTCCCTGACTTTGTAGTCTAAAAGCAAATGCCTCCATCTTGCTCCATCCCTGGATCTTTGTATCCACCTTGCTTGTTGCTTGTAGTACACAACAGGAGACGGTGACATCCTTTGTGCTACAGAAGCCGTTTACACCACTACTGCATGCAGCAGCACAGAATTGCCCCAGAGGACAGGTAACGGCATGCTATGGCACCACAAGGAGCCAAGGGACTTGATGAAAGATGGGAGATAAGAGGAAGAAGTGGGGGGGGGGAAGAGAACTAAGGAGAGACTGGTGAAAAGGAAAAGGAACAAAAAGAAAATGAGGACATGAAGGATCTGGGTAGCTCTTGAGAAGTAGTCACTGGAGAAATGTACTTTTTTCTCCTATTATGGGATAGGTTTACCCTTATGTCAGCAGAAAATAACTTCAGGTAAAGTGAAGGCAAAAGAGTGAAGGGGCATGTATTTTGTATGAGATGAAATGCAGGAGTGGACCCTGCTGGAGGGCGTAGCTAAAAGGCTTCAGAAACAGCTGCACCAGTCTAACTGGCAGCATTTTGGTAGATTTAACTTCACAATCTGAGGTGATGGTACCACACACTTTATACCATATGAATGCATACACCTGAAAACGTACATGTGTTTCACAATTAAGATCCTGCAATCACACCCAGATAAAGTATGAGTGCAAGTCTCCTCACAGCTAGACAATCTTCCACCTCTTTTTAAAGTCTACAGCATCATTTTGAGTCAAATATATTTCTTTTAGTGATTGTAGCTTTGTACTAAAGACTCTTCTGTTATTACTGATGGCCAAGGGTGCTGCTGAGAAGCTCTTCAGTCATTTCTGTGTCCATGACTTTAGGCGGAAGAACAGCTTTTTCATTTAAAAAAATTGAAAAAAAGAAAAAAATACCTGTGAGAAGGAGCTGTTTATTTATGTGTACCATTCACGATGTGAATTACTAGTAAAAACCTTGTGGAAATAAAAACTACTTCGCAAATGCCATGGGATGTAAGAAGCAGCCAACAAACCTTGGGTACTACAGAGGCTCGGATAATACTCTTTATTAAGTGCATGCAAAGAGATAAAAAAAAAGAGAAATGCCTTCATAGTAACACAGAAAGAAAAGAGGCATATGAAGTTGACAGAGAGAATCCAAAAGCACATGAAAGCATGCACATGCACATTCACTCTCTTAGACATTCACACATACACCGCGTGGACAGAGCAGCTTGGCCACCTAGATCTAAACTACACACCCAAGATGGTCCTCAGCACAGTCAGTGTGTGTGTCTGTGTGTTCATGTGACATTTGGAATATAACAAGGCGCATCCCTGGGGAAGCCATAAGAGCAGAGAACACCAGGAAGTGTGTAGCTTGTGTGATGAAAGAGCGCTCGCTTCCAGTTCATCTGCTCAGAGGGTAGAAATGTTTTCATAAAAAGTCAGGGGAAGGTTTACCAGATAAATGAAACCTAAGTGAGTCCCAAGTGCGTCTTTCTAATTTACTTCTGAAATGCTCGCTGCTTTATTGATAAATTTACTGTGTATAATTTATTAGCTAATTAAGACTTTACTACTTGTGCAAACTACAGAGTATTAGCTTTAATCTATTGAGCAGGGTGGATTTGTGATGACATGAACAGCTGAAATGCTCATTCATTATATCACGGAAGCGCACTAAACGGGCACTTTAACCGTTTCTTTCTTGCAAACACTACATGTTGTGGTTAAAGCAGAATTGAAAATAACACTTTTAAGTATTATCTGACCTACATTTTGCTGCATTATGTTTGTAGTCACAAGCTGTGACGTGTGCTTGTTAGTTTCATTTAACTTACCTCTGACCATGACTGTGACCTGATCCCTGGTGGTTCCGATGCGGTTGCTGACCTCACAGACAAACGTGGTGTTTACAGTCTCATCCACCTTCAGCACCTTCAGCTCATTGCCCTTGATCTGCACTGTGTCTGGCATCTCCCCTGACATGCTGCCAGGACATGAGCATAATCAAAATAAGAACGCATAACCATGAGAATGCCAAAAAAGAAATGCAGGACAGTGGTTTGTTTGACTTTAGCCACAATGAGATAGACATTTACAGAAATGTGCTGCATTGTGCAGCGTCATCCAGTTCCACAAATCTTGATCAGCAGTGCAAAACCAATCAGTTTTCCACCCGACTCAAAAGGCAATCCATTTTACCACACCATTGGAAAATACAATGGGGACAGAAAGAAAATCAAAACTGTTTGATTCAGGCCCAAAATCTCATCTCTGCAGTTTTAAAGACTTTCTTTTTTTTTTTTTTTTTTGACAGTTATAGCTGATAACAAAAAAGGGGGGAAAAGCGAGATTCATACGGTGTTTCTCATTATACAGGGGTTAAATCTCGAGTCCATTATGAGAAATTACTTGGCAACCTCCATAATCAGAGCACAGTTCTGGAGTGGCAATAACAAAAGCGCTGATTACAGCTCTGTGAGCACTGAGGCCCTGGAATGAAGGGTGAGGAAAGGGAAAATGTAGGAGGGGAAAAAAGAGCAAAGAACACTGGGAAAAACAGATGGAGAAAGAAACAAGACAACAGAGACTCCAAGATGGGAGAGTTACTCACGTCTTCCAGGCGACAGAGGTTGGAACGGGGTTTGCATTAGCCTGGCAGGTGAGCATCACATTTGGTCGGCCCACGTACCAGTTATTGTCATAGCCAACTATAGAGACCTGAGGGGCATCTGGGGAAAGAACAGATGAACAGCAGGAGTGAGGAAAAAAACAAATGTTCATTCCAAGGTATCATATTAGAGTGTGAACAGCAAAGGAATTTATGGAAGAATAGCTGCTGGATTGTGTGTGTGTGTGTGTGTGTGTGTGTGTGTGTGTGTGTGTGGTGTCTTACACTGAACTGCCAGCTTCATCAGGAAACTCTCTGCCTTGACCTGGGTCCTGTGCGCCACCAAGCAGCTAATGTCTTTCCCATTGTCTGTCGCGGTAGGAACCATCCGGTACTCGCTGGTCACCGTCACAGTGTTGTCGGCCCCTGGCTTAGACACCGTCGTTGCGTTTCCATTGGCTGTGGTCACCCAGGAGATCTGGGCAACGGGGCGGCCATTCAGAGACTCGCAGCGTGCCACAACGGCCGGCTTACTGCCTGCCACCACTGTCACGATGGAGGCCGAGTTCTCAGGCTTAGCTGATGGATGGATGGACAAAGTGATGCAAGGGTGGAGGGTGGAGACGGGAAAGAGACACAGAGTGGCAGAAAGAAGATTAAAGGATGCAGAGATAGATAAAATGGAAATAAGACAGCTGAGGGAAAAGATAATGTGCGCCATTACTGATAAACAGCACCCTGGCAAAAGCAAATCCAAAACCTCGACCTGCGAAGATCCTTTGTCCCCTTCCTGACCCTCTCTCTGTACACTCACTTCTTCTCCCTTCAGCGCTCGCATTGATAAACAATTACAAGCGGCAATACAAACACACTCAAACCCTAAATCTTCTTTCACTCTACCGCCATTTGTTTAATTTATTCCCCCTCTACCCCTATCACCCACCACTGATAAACAATTTCCCTGAATCCAAGTGGATTACCATAGACAGTTTCTAAATCACTACATGATCTCAGTCATCTCTCACCCCCTCTACTCCATCTCGCTCCTCAAACCTCCTCAACTGTCCTCCCTGATACTCATGTGGGATCAGGGGAGAGCAAGCAGGACAGGAGCTGACAGCAGGCATGACAAGCAGCCAGATCAATACACCGCCTGAGGGGAGGCATAGAGGGATGATGCTTTGGAGAGAGATGAGAGTCAGGCAAAGGGACAAGGTGTCAGGCCAAGGTTAGACGCATGGTTCCATTGCATTAACAAGAATACAATTGATCTGACAATACCACTTATATTATCAATTAGGACTAGCTGTACATGCTTTTAACCTGCACATTACCTTTGGGGGGGAGGGAGTGTGCTTAAGGGAAACACAAGAACAGTATACGTTGCAATTCTAATTATAGCTTGCAATGTAAATATGCTCATAGTCACTACAGAGAGACGGGTAACAAATTACAGGAAAAAAACAAGATAGAGCTGCTTCAGTTCATCTTGGTACAGATTTAATGAGTCTCGTTAACTGATAAAGGTATATTAGGATAGTTGGCCCTCTCATATATACAATTTTTTGACTACTACAATTGATTCTTGGTGTGCAAACCATGAGCCGTTAGCTACAGATCTGTCAGAGCAAGTTAGTCTGGATGGAAAAGTGCTTTTTGATCAGTGATATCCTCATGTAAGGAAACAAGCACTTTTATGAGTCCTTTGGAGGCATCAGTTACCCTTGATAGAGCTGTAAAACCAGGACTCGGTGTGATGAACAATACTTATAACAACAAAACTGTTGTGTTTCTCTTAAAGAAAGATCTCAAGGTCTGCCTTTGTAGGATTTAAAGACGTTGTGTCTCAAGACAAAAGAGAGTGTTGCAGATGTGCAACACTAACTTACAGTAAGTATCTTTTTGTAAGTTAAGTGGTAGCAGAAACATCACTTGGACATGTAAATCATCAAGGACCACAGTTTACTGTCTCATCCTTGACACCTTCCTTGTTGCCTGTCACCCTTTTTATAATGTCAAATAAACTGAGCATTCTTCCAAAAGACATTTCCTCATTTGGTGTGTTTCTAATCATGCTGCATAGCGCTGTCTAACACCTGCGAGATTACTGCGAAAAAGAACAGAGGCAGCGTTCCAGATTCAAGCTTGGGGTTTTACTTTGAGACCTTCATGAGCAGCTGTCAGATTTCAAAGTAAAACTTTGTAAAGTAAACTTAAATATATTCTTAAACAGCATGTGTTGAATATCATTACAAGCGTATTTGCTGAACAAAGTGCTCAGTTGGTCTGGGGTAACTGTGAAGGCCACATCGTATGACTCACATCATTTTCATGCTCATCAAAACATTCATAATCCTTTGTGACATGAAGCAACTGCCTTCACTTTGTGTTCCACTCCTACTGAATTCTAAAACACAGTGCGTAGATCATGTCAGTGACCTACCTAGCATGACCAGGAAAGTGATGCCCTGCTCGTTCCCACTGGGGTAGGTGGCGTATTCGCAAATGTACTTCCCCTCATCGGTCATCCTCACACCGCTTATCTGGATGGAAGGGCTGGCCAAGTTTGGAGGACTCGGCGTGAAGCTGACTCTGCCTTTCACAGGTGAGTCGGGGTAGTTGGGATCAAAGTTGGGGTGAAACACAGCTATGTTGATCCTTTCTCCATCCTTCGGCTCATAGATCCACGTGACCTGCGAAGGAGCACGCGCAGGGTCAGTGCTTAGCATGCATACAGTGACGGAGAAAGACAACAGGCCTCGTTTATCATGGCATTGATAAGTGACACTGGAGAGCATTTTAAGACATCCACATTTTAAAGCAAACTCTACAGGGCAGCGCACAGCATCACAATGAAGTAAGTGGAGCAGGCATGAATATGGATGGGCGTTTTACAGGAGTAATACTCTCTCAGCTGTTCTTAATGGAGCCAAGCACAGTTGTGCACTTCCCACTTCGTTGAAATGCGACTAAGAAGTGCATCTGTTCAATCCTCTATAGGAAGATTAAGCTCAGTATTGTTTGTTTGGAGTAATAAAACATCAAGCCCCAATGTGTTAAAAACCTATTGCTGGCCTCAGGATTATTTCTGTGGGCAATGATTTGCTACATTAAGGTTTATTGTGCCCAATAAACACACATGGAACTGTATTATCAGTTCATGGTTATTTTAATTGTAGTAAATTGCTCTTACTGGCAGGGCTGTGTTTCCCACACCAGCAGGTCAATAAGTAACTGTTCTACCTTATTTCACAGGAACATATCCATATGTTTAGTGAAATTATAATTTCTGTATTCACTTAAAGGAGAATGACGGCTTGCTTAAATTGTGAAAATAACCTGTAATCGTAAGCAATTTTAACAAATAGTGTTGTGTCAAGTCAGCACAACGACCTGCAACTTTCAGGGTGAGAAGCTTCTTTTTGGAATATGACACCACACTCAGTGTAGAGTTCATAGAAATGTGGTGGTGTACAGAGGCAATCAAATACAATCTAAAAAAAATGAAAATAATAGCATCATATCAGTCTGACCATTGTGAGCTGAATCCCAGTGGCATCGGTGAAGGCACAGCGCAGGTTGACTGTCTGGCCAGGATACGACAACACCTCCGGCTCTACCTTCACCCGCTGACCTGATGTTCCTGAATGAAACAAAGAAAGAGAAAGAAAAACATTAATCTCTGTTCTCACACCAAAACTACAGGAGAAAGAAAGAAAAAAAAAAAACACAAAAGGAGCACAGAAATTATGTTGGTACAAAGCCTTCTGATGATAAATGAGGACAGTATGGAAGTGTCTGGTACGACAGAGGACAGCATTAGTGAACCCGGGCAAGTAGGCCAAGAGTCTGGTATCGCTCCATGACTGTGCGTGTGCGGACGAGTGGCTGAAAAAAAGGGCATGTGTGCTGCAATAAAAAGAGGAAAGCCGGTCCTCTTTTGCACATGGGACATAAATCATCTAGATGGGTTATGCTTTTCTATAGCCTGCCATTTGCTGCGCCGAGACATTCCTGTGTAACAGCAAAGAGTCAAAATAAATATGCCGTTCTTGGTGTGTTGTGTCAGTGGGTGTGTGAGAAACCGAAAGAGTCTTGAGAGCAACGATCTGCTCACGTTCGCCTGTGTCTATGTGTGTGTGTGTGTGTGTGTGTGTGTGTGTGTGTAATCCAGGTCTCTGTGAAAATGTAATTACTTGTATGAGTAAGCGCGCATTAGTGTATGTCAGCAAAATGGCACCTGTTTTAAGTAAGAGTGGATTACCTACGGATGCACAACTTCAAATGTCTGTAGCCTGGGCTATATGTGTGAATGCGTGTGTGTGTGTGTGTGCTCACAATGTGTTTACCAGTGAGCTACACACATAGAACAGCACCAGTGGATCACAATTTCCCCTAAAGACAAACAATTACTTGCAGAACTAGTTCCACCAGTTTGTGCTGAGCTAAAGCTGTTGTGTTGAAACTAATATGATCTGGAGGCTGACAGAACACACACACACACACTCACACCAACACACCCACACCAAACACCAACACACACACACACCAAACACCCACACACATGAAACCCATACACACAGATAAGAGGAAAGGGCAGTGCTGTCTTTCTGTTTTGACGAGCAATAAACACCACACCTTCTCTTCTCGAGGGAGACCTGAGATGTCAATATGGAAGAAGGGAGGAGGGAGGATTGAGTGAAAGACTGAGTGGGAAAGTGGAAGAAAACAAGCCTTTCCTAGAATAACACCAGCTCTCCCAGGACCAGCCCAATTTACAACCACAAAACAACCCCCTTGTAGCCACAGAGGAACCTCTGGACAACCACTAAACAGCCCGTGGGAGCAGCACAGAGCCTTATTGGGCTGGAATCAGGAACAATTTGCTCTTTTTTTTTCCTCCTCTCTCTTTGGATGCACATACAGGATACAAGCATATCTGTGCAAGTCGTCACACAGCAAGCATGTGCACATACATATAAAGCTCATGACAGTTTTATTGTCGAGAGCTTGTGGCCTGTAATCTTTGAAATGTCTAGAGCACTTGTGACCCTTGGTCAGTCCATCTGAACTAGTCTGACTAACTACAGATTAGCTCTGGAAATGGGAGCTATTCTCTGGTTAGAAAATGATGCAGTAGGAAATGAAAAGAGAGAAAGGAATGAAAGGTTATTGAAAGTCTTGATTACTAGTCTTGACTGTGGTGTATGGACCAAGTTAGTTTGACATGACAGAGGTCATTACACTGAATGGCACTGACCATAGGCTACTCTGCCTCATATTTCTGGGTTATGCACATGTGCAAATTAAAAATAACAAAACAAAAACACACACATTCAATCTGCTGTGTCCACGCAGCGATGTGGGGGCAAAACTGAACCAGGCTCTGTCATTCTGAGGCAATAAGAGAAGAGCCAACAAGGGTCAGATGAGAGACAGCCTGGCCTTATGAGACTCTATACAGCCCCGGGGAAATGAATATTACACAGAAGACACACAAAGACTTGCACACCCTCATCTTCCATGATAGTCCCCGAACTCGAGCCTTGAAGACAGACTGCGAACAGCAGACGGAGAGAAAAAGAAAAGTAAGCGCGTACACATCAGTGCACGCACACAGACAAAAGAGAGCTTTGAAAACGATAAGGCAAAGTGGCATTTGAAAAAGTAATTGTCTGTATAAATATTTAGAGAGAAATGGTCATATTAAACAGGAAACGGAGAGGTGGGAGGCGGAGGGAGGAAAGAACGAAGGGAATTAGAGAATAAAAGACAGTTCAAGGGTAAGAATGAGAAGAAAGGAGGAGCGACAGTAAGCGGGAGAGGAAGAGAGGTTTGGAGGCGAGGAGAGTGAGAACAGAAGCCTTGTGTCACCGCTGCTCCACTTTACAGTAGCTCTGCTGCCTGCAGGTGACATACAAGAAACACCGAACCAAACGCACACGAACAAACAAACGCACGAACACACAGAACCGCCCTCTTCAACATCCTCAAGTAGTCGGATGTCGGCATCCTAAGTACTGTCACCTATCATTACGTCTTTAACATCCACAATGATGTGCGCGCACACACACACACACTATGCTGAGGGCTCTATGACAGCCCTGCCATATTAGCAGAGTCCTCTCCGATGCCCTGCCTGGTCATCCTGACATTTCCATATTTCCCACTGTTCGTCTGTGAAGAGGAAAATGAATCGAGGAGGAAGGAGGGGAGAAAGTACGCTGGGAGGATGGAAGGATGAAAGGAAGAGACAAGAGACAGCCTGGGAATGCCAAAGTGATGGAGGATGTGAGCGGAGGAGGGGGATGAAGTGCAAGGAAAGTGGGGATGAAAGGGTGTGAAGAAAATGCAGTGCCAGGAATAGAGAATGACAGAGGGAGTGAAAAGAGAGTGTGGTGAGAAAAGACGAGGGGAGGAGGATCTATACGCGGAGACGGTGTGAGCGATAAACAAGGTTAATAGGAGACAGCTGAGGGACAAAAGAGAAACATTTAGAAGAGGGAAATAAGAGTGGCAGTAGAATTAAATTTTAAAAAGTGACCTGGACAGTTGCAGTGGGAGCAACTAAAAATATAGAGGCGGGGAGGTGGTACGCGCATACAGAAACGGAGCAAGGAAAGGAGGATACGGGGGAGAAGGGTGGGAGGCGGCGAGAGGCAGGCTAAACTCCACACCTGACCTTGTGAGAAGCACTGTGGCTGGTGGCTATGAATAGGGAGCGAAAGAGGAAAAACACTGTGAAATGGCGTGAATGAGCCGGAGGAAGCGAGAGTAGGAGAGTTAAAAAGAAAAAAAAAAATCCTCATCATCTCTGCAGCCCATTGACTTATAAAACTAACACGCGCTTATCAGCCTGCGTCCGTCCGCCTTGCTGCCTGGCTGGCTGAAGCCGAAGCCTAATGGCATTCATGTCCTCTGCCTGATCCCCACTATAGCGGCGAAAAGCACAACGTCAGGGGGACAGGGAGCGCAGGCCATCAACTAAAATATCTAATGGCCTTCAGAGCTCAGCGACTCTGCCATTTCATCAAGCTAGTGGCTATGCACTGTCAGGTGGGCTACAATGAAGCTTCCCCATTCTCCATGTTCCTGAAGATTGCTTTCTGGCGGTCCAGTGCGCATGTGTGATCGAGAGAATGTGGGTGTGTCTTCCATTGGCCTTTATAGCAGACTGCTGTCTTAGCAAGCATTCTGGGCTTTTAATATGTTTTTCAGGTCAGTGCAAATTTCACCATCTCCATTAATCTGTCATTCTCTGTATTGTTGGACCTACTCTCTGCACTCCTGTAGAATAATATCTCTGATATGGGCAGTACGGAGCGCAGAGTCGAGCATCACATCTAAGTTCTTAAGGAATTTGTCTCTGTGTGCTCGCACTGACTTTTTTTCTTTACACACAATCATTTTTCTTACAGGCGGAATTAGAAAGAATTCAATCTTACAAACCTGACGACTGCCAAGTTTTGCAAGATGCCATCACATTCCTCACTCATAAAGAATGCTCACTGAGTATCATTATATACACACCACAATGTCTGACAGTAATCAGCCGACACTGTAAGCTGGTAAAAGATGATCCATCGCATCGTTCTGCTCTTTCATTGTTTCAGTGTCTGGGTTAAAAGCTCAGCGCACCACCATTCCACTGGCCTTGGATACAAGTGGTTTCTCAATGAGAGTGCTGCCAAATACCAGCTTTGTGCAGATCCTGATGTGCAATTTTGTTTTGTTTGTTTTGCATTGTTTTTAACCACTGGCACAGAGACGTAGATCCAATTCCACCATGACAGTGACACATTTTTCTGTTGTTCTGCCCATTTTTTCCAGCAAATGGAGCTAAAATTAAACAATAAGTACATTTCAAGTGCTTCCGTTTAGCTTTACCAATGTCCAAGGGCGTTTCCCTTCACTGTTAACCTCAGGTGTTTGTACATGGTGCTCCAAATAATGAACAGTGTTTGAATATTGACATTTAGCTTCTGAAATGAAGGCTACAAGTCAGGATTTCAGTCTGATAATAACTATTTTACTACCGTTCGTCCTCCCAACATCTTGACTATTGTTTGCTTTATTGGCTGAGATACTGTAATATTTAAGTTTTTGTTACTGGCAGGCTTTTAATTTGGGAGCCGACTATTCATCTATTCAATTGCAATTCATAGGCCACGACATTGTAACATGTATTAACGCAGCTGATATGCATTATCTGACATTCTGGCTAAAATGACCTACCAGCGTAGCCGCCCTTACAACTGAATTCTGTGTGATGCTGCCAGTGCCGTGTCCAAACCAAAACAGTGACACTGCTGTGGCTGTGTGTCATGTCCACACTGCTGCTGGTCTGTTCTAATAGCTGTTATCAGCTTGAGTCTGGAACAGCACCAACTCCAGCCTACTGTCTGCTGCTACTGCTGCTGCTGCTGCTATCAGACCTCACTGGTTCCTCTGACTTTCACACACTCACACCAATGTGGACACACATCCAGAAATCTACAATGAATGTGAATGCACTTCACATTCCCACACACATTTACATCTCGACACTTTGGTATGCAGGGAGCAGAGTCCGAATGCAGCTTAGCTCTGACAGGCGAGGCGGTTTGACAAGCCGAGAATAAAACCAGGAAATGAAGACCTGAG